CGATGGTCGTAAGGCTGTTGAGTGCAGATGGATTTTAAAAGGAAGACGGACAATGATGGTAAATGTCACCATTAAGAAAGCTCGACTTGTCGTTAAGATGTTTCCCGACAAGTTCAAGGAGTTGACTACGATAAGACTTTCTCACACGTAGCGATGCTAAAAGTCTGTTGGAATTATATTAGCGATTACTGCATTATTTATGAAATCTTGCAGATAGGATGTCAAAACATTGTTTCCTCGACGATTTTCTTGAGAAAAGGTTGTATGTGATACAACCGGAAGGTTTTGTAAATCCTGAAAGATGCTAATAAGTATGCAAAGCTCCAGCAATCCTTCTAAGGACTGGAGTAAGCATCTCGAAGTTGGAATGTACGCTTTGATGATGATCAAAGATTTTGGGTTTATACAAAGTTTATGAGAAACTTGTATTTCCAAAGAAGTGAGTGGGAGCACTATAGAATTTCTGATGAGAATATGTTGTTGACATATTATGGATCAGAAATGATGTAGAATTTCTGGAAAGCATATAGGGTTATTTGGAAAGTGTTTTTCAATGGAAAGCCTGGATTAAGCTACTTGAACATTGAGCATCAAGATCTATAAGGATAGATCAAAACGCTTAATGGTACTTTCAAATGAGCACATACCTTGACATGATCTTGAAGGTGTTCAAGATGGATCAGTCAAAGAAGGAGTTCTTGCCTGAGTTGTAAGGTATGAAGTTAAGACTTAAAGCTCGACCACGGTAGAAGAAAGAGGAAGGACGAAGGTCGTCCCCTATGCTTTAGACGTAGGCTCTACAGTATGCTATGCTGTGTACCGCACCTGAAGTGTGCATTGCCATGAGCCAGTCAAGGGGTACAAGAGTGATCCAAGAATGGATCACAGGACAGCGGTCAAAGTTATCCTTAGTAACTAGTGGACTAAGGAATTTTCTTGATTATGGAGGTGGTAAAAGAGTTCGTTGTAAAGGGTTACGCCGATGCAAACTTTGACACTAATCCAGATTATTCTGAGTAGTAAACTGGATTCGTATAGTAGAATAGTTATTTGGAATAGCTCCAAATGTAGCGTAGTAGTTGCATCTACAAGATGACATAAGAAATTTGCGAAGTACGTACGGATCTGAAAGATTCAGACCCGTTGACTAAAACCTCTCTCACAAGTAAAACATGATCAAACCCAGAACTCATTGAGTCTTAATCACATGATGATGTGAACTAGATTATTGACTCTAGTAGACTCTTTGGGTGTTAGTCACATGGTGATGTGACCTTGAGTGTTAATCACATATCGATGTGAACTGGATTATTGACTCTAGTGCAAGTGGGAGACTGTTGGAAATATGCCCTAGAGGCAATAATAAATTAGTTATTATTATATTTCCTTGTTCATGATAATCGTTTATTATCCATGCTAGAATTGTATTGATAGGAAACTCAGATACATGTGTGGATACATAGACAACACCATGTCCCTAGTAAGCCTCTAGTTGACTAGCTCGTTGATCAATAGATGGTTACGGTTTCCTGACCTTGGACATTGGATGTCGTTGATAACGGGATCACCTCATTAGGAGAATGATGTGATGGACAAGACCCAATCCTAAGCCTAGCACAAAGATCATGTAGTTCGTATGCTAAAGCTTTTCTAATGTCAAGTATCATTTCCTTAGACCATGAGATTGTGCAACTCCCGGATACCGTAGGAGTGCTTTGGGTGTGCCAAACGTCACAATGTAACTGGGTGGCTATAAAGGTACACTACGGGTATCTCCGAAAGTGTCTGTTGGGTTGGCACGAATCGAGACTGGGATTTGTCACTCCGTGTAAATGGAGAGGTATCTCTGGGCCCACTCAGTAGGACATCATCATAATGTGCACAATGTGATCAAGGAGTTTATCACGGGATGATGTGTTATGGAACGAGTAAAGAGACTTGCCGGTAACGAGATTGAACAAGGTATCGGGATACTGACGATCGAATCTCGGGCAAGTACCGTACCGCTAGACAAAGGGAATTGTATACGGGATTGATTAAGTCCTTGACATCGTGGTTCATCCGATGAGATCATCGTGGAACATGTGGGAGCCAACATGGGTATCCAGATCCCGCTGATGGTTATTGACCGGAGAGTCATCTCGGTCATGTCTGCATGTCTCCCGAACCCGTAGGGTCTACACACTTAAGGTTCGATGACGCTAGGGTTATAGAGATATTAGTATGTGGTAACCCAAAAGTTGTTTGGAGTCCCGGATGAGATCCCTGACGTCACGAGGAGTTCCGGAATGGTTCGGAGGTAAAGATTTATATATAGGAGGTGCTATTTCGGCCATCGGGACAAGTTTTGGGGTCACCGGTATTGTACCGGGACCACCGGAAGGGTCCCGGGGGTCCACCGGGTGGGGCCACCTGCCCCGGGGGCCACATGGGCTGTAGGGGGTGCGCCTTGGCCTATATGGGCCAAGGGCACCAGCCCCAATAGGCCCATGCGCCAAGAGAAAAGGGAAAGGAAGAGTCCTAAAGGGGGAAGGCACCTCCGAGGTGCCTTGGGGAGGATGGACTCCTTCCCCCCTTGGCCGCACCCTTCCTTGGAGGAAGGGGCAAGGCTGCGCCCTCCCCCTCTCCCTTGGCCCTATATATAGTGGGGGAAAGGGAGGGCAACCATACCTAAGCCCTGGCGCCTCCCTCTCCCTCCCATGACACATCTCCCTCCTCCCGCAGCGCTTGGCGAAGCCCTGTTGGAATCCCGCTACTTCCACCACGCCGTCGTGCTGCTGGATCTCCATCAACCTCCCCTCCCCCCTTGCTGGATCAAGAAGGAGGAAACGTCGCTGCTCCGTACGTGTGTTGAACGCGGAGGTGCCGCCCGTTCGGCGCTAGGATCATCGGTGATTTGGATCACGACGAGTACGACTCCATCAACCCCGTTCTCTTGAACGCTTCCGCGCGCGATCTACAAGGGTATGTAGATCCACTCCTCCCTCGTTGCTAGATGACTCCATAGATAGATCTTGGTGACACGTAGGAAAATTTTGAATTTATGCTACGTTCCCCAACACCATGTTGAAGATGCTGTTACTCAAACCAGATTTTAAGCCTCAACTGCGTAAATGGAATCAACCTGTGGTTGGATGGCTAGAGGGATTGTGATATCCCCAGCCCACAATGGTTTAAGTCCTGGTGCTCGCATTTATTCCTGGATTTATTTCAGGATTTTCGGCTATGCGCATTCAGTGAAAGGAGACGTTCAAAAGTGCTTACAGAGATAAAATGTGCATGCGTGCGTTCATAATGTGGGTATATGCGTATGTATATGAGCACGTGTGTATTGTGTTAAGAAAAAACTGCGTAAACGGAACCAAGTATTGCAGCATCCCTGACCGTCTTGTGGCAAACAACACGGTCCAAATTTACTGTGTGCATTTGAAACCGAACCGAAAAACCATACCGAAAATAAACCGAACCGAACCAAATTTATGGTTTTTATGGTTTCTGGTTTCGGTATGTATGAACTTTTCATACCGATTTGAACTTTGGTTTTTATGGTATATACTGAAAAACCGAACGGTTAACCGAATAAATCGAAATAAAAAATAATTTCATATTTCTTGTGATGAAAAACCATACAAGTTGTCATTTTTCTTATACATGAGTCAAATTCACTACTAAGCATGTAATTTTTTCTTGTAACATAGTCATTTTTCTCTTTTTAAAATGCTAAGCATGTCCATAACCATCAACAGATGAATCAATGCATGCATATATATATTTTTTTACATGGATGCATGCATATACTTATATATATATGGTTATATACTATTTGTGTTAAACAGTATGTGTTTTGAGTCATAAATTTGCAAATTATTATTACATCATTTTCAAATTCGTGTCAACTTTGGTTATTATGATATATATCAAAACCATACCGAAATAATTTGGTATATACCGAAACCGAATCGTATTTTAATTTCAAACCGTATTTACCGAAATATTAATACTATACAAACCGAAAAACCGTATAAACCGAACCATGTAAACCGAATAAACCGAACGCACAGAGTGAGTCCAAATCAAACGCGTGCCAACCCGATCCGCCTCCGGCCCCACTGGCAGTCCTCTACAATCGGGCAAGGGTAGGCACCACGAAACCAATACGCGAACTCCCACCCGATCCGACGGCCCGCAACCGCCACCTCTCAATCAGACGGCCTGTACCCGCTAACCCAAAGCCGAACAACGCCCATAGACTTCAACCGCGGACCCACACGTCTACTCCCAACCTGTCAGCGACCTACCCACATAGAGCCAAAGGTAGCCACACGGCACCGCGTGCATAATTAACCAATAATATCTCGCCCTTAAGAGAAAACGATTTTGGAAAACCTGAAAAAGATGCTCTCCGCATCAGCCAAGCCCACCACGCCTCTCCGCTCCCCCGCTCCTCTCAAAGGAAGCACACGCCCCTGGGATGGCGCCACGTCAGCGATCCGCGCCCCGCGATCCGAGCGCTCCCATTGGCCGCCCATATAAGCCCCGCCCGCCGTCCCTACGCCGAGTCCACAGCGCGACGCGTGAGCCGCCCCCTTCTTCCTCCAATGGCGAGGTAAACACCCCTCCCACGTATAAATCACTGTATTTCAAATAGCCTCCCCAACCAAAACACCCCAGATTTTTTTATTTATTTGATTTCGGGAAGGGGAGGGGAGAGAGATAGAGAGATGGACGAGGCGTGGGAGAGGGCGGTGGAGGCGGCGCTCCACACCGCCGGCGAGGGGAGCTCGTCGCCGGCGAGGAGCCTGACCCTCGACGGCGCCGTCAAGTGCATACACGGGCGCTTGCCGGCGCCGGAGATACTGGAGCGCCACCAGAGCCTGGAGCACCTCTCGATCGCGGGCGTCGGGGTCGCGTCGCTCGCGGGGTTCCCCCGCCTGCGGAACCTCACGCGCCTGACGCTCTCCGACAACCGCATCGCCGGCGGCCTCGAGCACCTCGTCGAGGCGGGGCTCGGTTCGCTGCGCGACCTCGACCTCAGCAACAATCGCATCCAAGATGTGGACGACCTCGCGCCGCTCGCCCGCCTCCGCCTCGTCTCGCTCGACCTCTACGAGTGCCCCGTCACGCGGGTCAAGGACTACAGATCCAGGGTGTTCGGGTTGATCCGGACTCTCAAGTACCTCGACAAGATGGACGCCGACGAGAACGAGCGCCCGGAGTCGGACGACGACGACGACGATGGGGACGGCGAAGGTGATGGCGAGGAAGAAGATGATGATGAGGACGACGATGACGAGGATCCTGGAAGCGGCGAGGTGGCAAACGGGGGCGCCTCGCACTCGCGAGGTAGCGTGGCACCGCGCCCGGTGGAGGTGAATGGGGTGATCGATGTGGATGAGGATGAGAGCGAGGCCGACGAGGTCGTGCCCAATGGGGAAGCCGAGCACCACCACAGGGCCAACGGGTTCAGGGTTGCAGCGGTTGGGGTAGCCCCTGATGAGGATGATGAAGACGTGGATGATGACGACGATGATGCAGACGAAGAGTATGAGGAGGAGGATGATTTGGGAGAGGAGATCGATGAGGAGGGTGATGAAGATGACACTGTTGTTGAGGTACTTGACGTGCCCAGTAGTGATGATGAGGAGGATGGCATCGATGAGGATGATGATGATGATGAGGAGGAGGTTGAGGATGATGGTGATGGTGAGGAGGCTGAGCCAGAGAGTAGTGGAAGGGTTGCTATGGCGGTGGGGGGTGTTGGAGAAGAGATTGATGGACATGAGCAAGGTGAAGGTGATGATGAGGATGAGAATGGTGAGATCGGAGAGGAAGATGAGGAAAGATTGGACGATAGTAGGGTTTATGAGGAGGACAACGATGATGACGATGCTGATGATGAGGTATAAAACAATTTCCCGCTAGCCTTTGAAGTGCTTTACCTTATTGCAATTTCTGCATGTTCAGTTTGTGGGTGATTGTTCTAGTCATATTGTTTAGCAAGATAACTATTGACCACCCAACTATATTGCAGGTATATTTGAACTGTGGCTAGTTTTTCAGTTATGATATTTAGCTTTCATGCATTAGTTATGTGTCCTTGTTAAGTTTGCTGATTATGTGGGCAACACATAGTTTTGGGACTACCAAAGTAGAGTACTTCATTGTCAGATCCCCACTCGTAATCTTGTTTCTTTTTGTGGTAGGTTAGGTGAACACCTTGTGTATAAAGTATACCGTGGAAAAGTTGTTTTAACGAAATTTGCTCATATGGAGATTTAAGGCAATCATGCTCCCAAGATATTGCTTAAACATGTTTGTTAACATATTATGTGATTTGAAAGCTCTGTACCCTCAAAATGACCAGGAGTGTGTCAAAATGATTATGACAGATCTTGTAGTTTTAAAAGCTTGGGGATTCTGATTTCTTCATCTTTCTGGAAGTAGATTTAGTTCCTGATGTTGTTGACCTAAAACTTTACATATTCGAATGTTAAAATTAGTGACTGTCTAGCTTGTGCTTCTAATATATTTGTTACAATTTGGGAATAATCAAAGATTTGGATACATCAGTTAAGCATGTTGTTCCCTATGTTCCTAGGACCTAATATCATATCCATCTACATGTACATCATATCTGGCTTAGTTCTTGACATTTTAGTGCTTCTAGTACATCATGTATTTATTTGTGGGCTTAGACAGATGTGTCACCTGATGCATGTTTAGTAAGATGGAATTCTCCATATTTGTTTCTTCTACAATTTTTCCTTGAAAATTAGCTTTGGTAATGGCCATTATCTTGGTGGTATATTTTCTGTTATTTTATTAGTATTAATCATGTACTCTTTTGCAAGGTTATATGCTAATTTGTTTCTTTTACCACTCAATTCATGTTATGCTGTTATCTTCAGATTTATATCTCAACATATTGTTTATTTGTTTTGTTCTGGTTATGCTGTCGATTTAGTTACCAATTAACTGATTTTGTCTGCTAGAAGATTAGTTACCTTTAGCATGTCATGAACTTAAGCATTGTTTAAGCCTGTTGGTTTTTCATTTGCTCAGGATGAAGACACAGAATATCTTGTTCAACCAATTGTGACGCCCCAAGCCGTGGCTGTTGGAAGTCCAGAGGACTTTGATATTGCTGACCCTGATGATGTCGATGAAGACAGAGACGAGGTCGATGATGATGACGACGAGGGTGGCACAGACCAGCCGTCGTCCTTGCAGGGTATCAAGCGGAAGAGGGATGATGACCCATCAGGCAGTGGCAGCGACGATGAGGATGATGATACTGAAGACCGGCCGTTCAAGCACCAGTGACCATTGTACATGGATCATCCCCTTCCTCACCCCTTCTTCTCAGGTAGAAAGAAGTAATCAGGAGCAGCAGCAGCAGCAGCAGAACAGAAATGGTGGGTTTCCCCCTGTTTTCCTTAGCCGTTTTTCTTGTAAAGACTTTGGTTTGGGGAGGGCTTCACCCTCCTTTTTAAACAGCAGATTTTAGGAGGGAAAATGGAGTTGTAGTCAGTGAACCAGCTTCCCTCTTTGCCTGCACCCTTGCTGAGTTTTCCCTCCATAATTTGAAATGGTAGTTACAACACCCCAGGTGTTTTCCCTCCTTCCTTTGAAATTCCTGTTGCATTGTCAGTATTGTCAGGTTTCCCTCCAAGAGAAAGCCCGGGAACTGCCCCCCTTTGAAATGCCCCCTAGTAGCCGTTGCCTGCATTTGAAAATCTTATACTTTGCCCTGGTTGAACTGTCTGTCTGTGCTGTGTGCTTCTTACTGATGATGACTGGCCGCTGGCTCTGCCTGCCGGCTGCCGGCGGCTCTGCGCGGGCGCTACCTGCTTTGAGATAGGTGAAATGGCTGTGGTTGCAGCGATGGCTCCTCCCTCCTATAGCAAATGGGCTCTGGAGTTATTTAGCAATTTTTGGCTACTGAGGCTTTGCCTTGCGCTGCTGTGTCTCTGGTTCACGGCGGTGTGCTCCTTGCCGGTCTACCACGAGGCCCGAGCTGCGCCCCTCTGCCAGGTGGGTCCGCTTCCGTGACTAGCTTTGGCCTCGGGGGGCCGTGATTTTTCGTTGAGAGTAAAAGGAGGAGGCCGCGGTGGGTGGGTGGGTGAGGATGGGATGCGATGCGATGCGATGCGATGGCGGAGTACAGCTGCTGCCTTTCGCTTTTCTTTTTTGGCAAGTTGCGCCGCGCAGCGCGAGTGGTGGGTGGGGTAACGCGACCGGTGGTGGCGCGAGCCGTGATGGCCTGGCGCGCCGTGGCGTGAGGCGCGGGTGGAGCGCGCTGTCCGTGAGCGGCTCGAGGAGGAGAGAAGATCCCAGCGGATTTGGGCGGATGCCATCCTTGGATGCTTCCCGTTTCTAGGGCGACCCTGCTCCTTTTTTCTGGCCGATGGGGATTTTACGCCCCTGCCCCTGCCCCTGCCCCTGCCCTGAGTGCTCTCTGGCCCATCCGTATTGAATATCCAGCTCCCCGAGTTTGACGCGTCTCTGCGCTGCGCTGAAATTAAAATGGGAGGAGAAGAACGGCACGCCTCCCTCTGCGGTTGCTGGGTCCACGCTGCGTGCTGGTCCTGCATGTCAGTCGCTCACGGTGCGTCTGCCGTGTGCGTTTTGCTGGTTGGCGTTTCGCTCTGGAGATCTTATATGCGCCGCCGCCGAACGGTGCTGGGTTAGGTTAACTAGAGCGCATATTTCCTTCCTGCTGGAGTAATCAGCGGGCCCGTCTGGACTGAAAGCTGTACGCGAGTGGACGGATCAGGTTCAAGGTAGTAGCTGGAAATTCTATATGTGGATAGTAATAATGGTTGATTAATGGTTATTACTATTGGGAGTAATTAACTTGGGCCAGCAGCATGCCTTGCCCCGCGCTCTGCGCCGCGGTGGACTCGGTCCATACCGCGTTGTGCCGCTGCGTCTTGTGGCCCACCGTGTTTCTAGGCCCTTCTGACTGTGTGGTCCGTGTCTACAGATCCCTGCGCGCAACGGCCACGATAAGGAAGGAGGGGACAGCCAGGACAGGCAGGCGAGCACGCGATGCCCGTGAGCCGTGTGGTCGTTCGTGGTGGGGAGCTGCAGGATCGGACGGCACGGAATGGAAAGCGGTAGCGTGCCGTTGCCTGTCTTCAGCTGCGGCGTGGAGCGGGCCTTCGGCCCACCGAGTTGCGGGTGGATGTCATTTTGCGTATGTGGACCGGGCCTAGAGGCTGCAGCACGTTGGGGTCTTGGGAAGTCAAGAGTAGTTTGGCCGGTGTTTCTAAAAAAGAAGAAGAGTAGTTTGGCCGGTTTCACTCCAAAAAAACAAGCACCCTAGTTTGGCCGGGTCCGGGGTGCGGGGTCATGGGCAGCTACGTCCTCCGGGCATCTCGTCCGCAACTGCATCATTTTTTTTGTTGCCGTTCACTGAGAGCACATTATTTTTTTCAGAAGTCAATTAAACATTTTCGTCTAAAGTCGGTCTAATGTCTATGAAAAGGTGGCACCGGCATTTTATTGAAGTTGCACACATCTTCGTGATGCGGCGAATGAGGATTTTTAAGAATTTAGGACACCATTTTCCTTTATAAAAAACAAATGTTCGAGAAGACTTTAAACTTTGACATGATCAGCTCATATCACATAAAATGTGGGTCCACGTGCCAATTATTGAGTATTGAGTTTGTGCTCATGTCGGCTCAACAGCGTAGACGAGTATTGAGTTTGTGCACTGGCACACTGGATATTCTACTACAGATAAATGATCCACTAGAACGTTAATAAAATGAAATGATCCATTCTCAAAAAAACGATCCGTGGTCTTTTTTTCTTCTCCAAATGAGCCAATTCTTGTCAGGCACTCGATGCCCCATTTTTGTCGCATGGGTTGATCTGAAGCATCGTTTTTAATCAGGTGGCTCACGTATGTCGCAGGTTGCAAACCACACCAGCAGACGAGGAAACGGCTGGCTCAGGCGGGCAACCATGCTGCACCGGTCTCTTCTCCATCGGGGTGCAGATAGAGCGGCGGTGCAGCGCCACCCAACCAAACCAGTGGACAGCAACGACCCATCCACCGTAAGGCGTCGATCCGCCACGCGACAGACTCGTTCCCATGGCGACCCGGGCTCTGCACTCGCCGAGGCTCACGAGCCCGGTGCTCACGGGCCGGCATGCGGCGGCGAGGTGCAAGTGCTCCACCCCGCCGCTCTTCGTGAAGCGACTGCCGCTCATCGTCGCCTTCCCTCGCCTCGTCGTTGCCTTCCCTGGCGCCACCACCGCAACCAGTGGTACTTGTTAACGTAAGTATCTTCAGAATTAGGAATATGATCATTAGCATATCACTGGCGATGAGCTGCCAATGATGGGGAAAAATTGACAATAGAACTGGGTTTGACTCTGTTTATGCTAGAGGGGGAGAGATTGTGATCACACCGGCTTGGTAGGGAAATCATCAATAAGATGAGTAAGAAACAGTATGCCCAAATTTCAGATTTCTGGTCTAATGAGGCAACTTATATTGATGAAATGGAAATCGAGGTTGGTTTGGGCAATTTAGGGAATAAACATTCTGATATGAGGGAAGAGATCGATGAGGAGGAAAAGCGGGGGCAAAAATGGAAAGGAAGAGAAATGCCTTTGGTGAATACGCTTTCTAAAATGGAAAGGAAGAGAAATGCCTTTGGTGAATACGCTTTCTAAAAGCTTCACCAGTATAAATGACGAGTCTATCCTCCTGTTAAGAGGAGAGTGCGATCCCCGAGGATTTAGGTTTTCCCCTCCCCCCCGCCGCCACCAGAAACAGAAGAAGAAGATAAGATGAACATGGGTTTTGGAGG